CTTTTTTCTTACCGCTCTTTGAACCGCAACCAACTACGATACAATGCACCATGTTCAGTGAAAAGTTCACACATATCTCTCTGTCGCGTCTGTTTGTTTACTATCGAGGGGCACAAAGATGGCGGATAGCAACCGTTGTCAAGACCGGTGTCACGTGGGTGAAAGCCAAGAATAGTAGAAAATGGAAACTGAATTCCCATATAAAAACTACTCTCCGAAATTAAAATATAAAATATCTTTCTATCTCGAAGACTCGTGTCTCGGTAAATATTCTCCATATTCACTGAGCCTGAGGCGAATAATTGCTAATTATTTCATGATTTTTTTTCTACTCTCGAATGGATGTATATTTTATAGATAACCATATACCAACTTGTGTACAGAGTAACTTATTTTTATATACAATAATTCAATAAAAACAAACAAACAGAAACTTTTAGTTTGCGTGACAAATTTACGCAAAACATTTAGCAAAACTTTTACGCCATACTTTGAAGATAATATAGTTAAGTTGTAGTGCTTGGGAACGAGGTTATTCCGGGCGAAAGCCCTTGGAATTAAATTCGGAAAAATTAATTTCCGACCTCGCTGGGATTCGAACCCACGACCTTCGGAATTGTACTACCGATGCTCTACCAGCTGAGCTAGAGGTCAGACTGAGAGCAGGCCGGGGTGAAATAGATGTTAGGTCGCGGTAATTATGATGCAAAGATGAGAGTATGTGGACCGCGTGGCACTAATGAAATAGTAGAAGATAATATAGGTAAGTTACCTTTGTTACCTTTTTAGTATTGATAGGAATGGCATTTACTTTCATTTTTTCAATTTCCTCATCGGAAATTGTAGCAAAACGATTGCCGGCAGATGCCTTTTTGTTGCCGACTCAATTTTCGAGATTCAGAGGTGAATATCGTGCAATATTCACCTCCAATTAACCAATGAGCGCGCGCGTTCTTAGGAAGTAAACAAGTTGGTATATGCTAATGATAAATACATACTCATACATACTCATAATTTGATATATAAATATATGTATATACAAATATGTATATAACAAAAAGCCAATGTTTATATTCGTACCAATAAATATAATAAAAATCTTAACAACATATATTGTTAAACAATCTCAGTCTTAAGGTAGTTCCGGACCCTTGCTACTGCGCATCCATTTCGCGCATCTCGTTTTTTACCCATTATTTGCGCTGTTTTGAWAATTGATTTAAATAATGTCAGAAGTTGAATCCTTTTCTATAACTTAATAAAGTATTTCGCTAATTCATGGAATTTTTGAGGCAAAAATGAAATGTTTTCAAAACATACTTAGATTTTCATTGCCTGACTTGATCACTCTTTTGATTCAAAACAACATATTCATAACTTTAATTTATAAAAATGAAGTAACAAAAAATGAATTTGACATGTTATTCTCAAAATCAATTCGAAATAAGTCTTAGATTCTCTGGAGATTACAAAGACGATTTGACATGTTTCAGACGGAGGTTAATGTACTAGAACCCAGTCCCGCGCGGACAGGATTTGTGTTTTTTGACCAAAAACTTGGATTTAGTCGCCAATAGCTCGTCTATTAGTACTTAGACCCCCAATTTTTTTCTTCTTAATCGAAGCTAGATATCATTTTCTTTAGATTTAGTGCGGAAAAAAAAAGTTCATTGAAAGAATTGTCATAAATTTTCAGCAATTTTACAACTACACACGCATAACTGCGCCGAATTACAAGCAATTTCGCTTCTAGAGTTAACTTTTCACACTACTTGCAAAAAATTGGATGGACTTTTTATTTAGATATGTTTTCTAGACTCAACACCTATAGTTTAAAACAGTTTTCTGTTTTTCTTTGTTAAAAATCAGATTTTCAGAGGCAGATTTTCGGCAAAAACGCGCGGAAAACTGAAAAATCCCTCCTTTTTGAAGCCTTATATCTCGATAACCAATACGGTGACCCCCTTCTCTTTTTTCATTATTTGAATACCCTAACAATGAACCGCAAATGACAGAATTTTTTAAAAAATCCATAGAAGAATTTTGAAGATCCGGTACTTTAAAAGAATAGATATTTTTATAATAAAGGGTTAGGCAAGGCTTCAGCAAGCTCTAAACATCGAAGCAAGTTGTTTGTATGCATCTATATACATATTCATATCCTTTTACAAAATATATAGAGCTTCCAAGTTGTGACGTATTTCCGAGTCCAACTGCTCACAAAAGCCGCCAAAATAAAGTGAAAATAATATCAGTGATTTAACCTTCACCTAAAGCAATTAGAACTTTGGACAACAAATCCTAATATGAAGTAAAAGTAATGAAGAAAAATTTTTATAGAACTTCTTTTCGTTTTGGACCCGGAAGTCGTTTTTCCATTCAATGTCTACGCAAATGTCCGAATCTTTAAGCTATTTTTAGAATCAGTGCGCTGCGCTATTCTCCTTGAATATTTTTTTGAGGCCTGATGATACACAATGTGAAAATACATGAAGTACCTGCCTAGACTCCTCTCCAGTCCCTTTAAGCAATTATGTCTGCGAGGGAGCTTTGTCCTAGTTCACTCTTCGCCGTCTCTTTTGCCGAGCGCTTGTGAATCGTAGCAGTACTTGGTGGATTGTTAAGAGGTTTTTGAATATGGCAGGCCGAGCAACGGTAAACATTGATTATGTGAAGCTAGTGAAACAAAGTTTAGGGAATCAATATGAGCTGATTGGACCGACAGACGTACTGGAACCCATTTTTCAAAATGACAGAACCATATCTATTTCAAGTCACGACATTGATATTGTTGATGATGATGTCGTTCCCTTAACGCAAAAGGAAAGTATTGTGAAAAATACTATAAGTACGTTCTGGACATGGAGTGCTTGGGTGAATATTCTTACATCAAATGGTTTCACATGTAAATCAGTAGCCCATGGATGTGGAGGTAGTGATCGAGGCGTTCATTTGTCTGAAATCTGGCTGTTCCAAAGAAAAAAAAACTAGACATTGAGTGTTGTCAGGAAGAAGACACGTGGCGCGAACTAGACGGTGTCGTTTTCCTGTCAATGATTAGAAAAAAGAACATTACGTAGGAAAAGCTATAAACTATAAAGCAAACCTAAAGCATAAACCTCATACTGTATTAGTTATTCTTGTATGGTATATTTTACTGGGATCATCATTGGTGTTATTCAGTGTGTTATTCAGATAATACCTCTGTACTTTAGTAGGTAAATAAATGATGGTAATTAAAATGAGTGGAGTGCAATTGGACCAAAATCATACGTGTGATTACAAAATAGCACGACCGCGTAGCGGGAGTGCAATTTGTTAATCAGAAGTATGATTTTGGTCCAAAATTGCACGACACGAAGTTCAGTTACCACTTAATCATATCCTTTTTGTAATCATACACAAGAAAAAGACACAATAAAGAGTGCAGAATAATCAATTTAATGTAGTAGAAGAACTAAATGCGAACAAAAAAAAAACATCTAAAAAATTTTTTTTGTTGATTTTTTTTGTTTTATTTTGTTGTTTAAAAAACATTTTTTTAAGGATGCGATTAAGAGCTCCTAAGGATGCGATTTGGGAATTAATCGCACTCCTTTGAACCAATCAGATTGCAGGATTTGGTAGTGATTACAAAAAGGATATGATTAACGAATTAATCCGCTTCTTCATGAACTGATAATGTGCATTTGTTTCTTGTTATTCCTATGTAATTATAGGGCATACAGTCGCACTTCGGTTGTCAGCGACGAAGTAGTTGCTTTTAGATATCCTTGGGAACTTCAATTTTAGGGTTTAAAAGTTTTATTTAAAAGAGAAATAATTTTTCTGTTAAATCAAAAACCACTCCCTGTAATAATGGTTAGCAGGTGTGTTGCTTTTGTTTATTATTCGTGAAGGTTCATTTCCGGTCAGATTTTGAAATTCATTTTGTTACGATTCGCAGGGTTTTGAGGTGGAACGAAACTAATTCAGAGCGAATTTTGGACAATTTTATTCTTGCTCCCTTCGCAAAACTGGTGAGTCAATTTAACTGGATTTTTCATATAAAGTGCTTGGATTATCCTAGATTCTAACAGTGTATTTTATTTTAAGATTTTTTAAATGTTTAGCCTATTACG